TTAGGCCGGTTCAAAAATCGTTTTTTCAGTCTGCCATAAAATCATGTGGGATAAAGGCAGGCAAATGCTCTAGGAACTTTCAATCGCAGTTTTTCTCCTTCTTTTCATCAGTCATGTTTTGGAACCATTTGCCTTGGTTTTGAGATAATTGCCGAAATTTCAAACCCATAGTTTTTACCATGCCCAGCTTTGGCCATTTTTCAAAATCTTTATTTTGAACTTTTGGAAGAGCTTTAAAGGCATTTAGATAGCGTAGACAAAATGCAATGCGTTGCAATTTTCTCGCATCTTCAATCAGCTTCTTATTATTTTTAGGATAACTTTTCCGAAAGTCCTCGATTTTGCGAAGTTGCAAAATACACAAAGGCTCCAAACACTAACAAATCGTCGGAGTTTGATACTTGCAAGGTTCAATTATGGTTACACACTAGCTTCACAAAGCAACAGAGCGTTTGTAGTTTCGAAATATCAAATTTAACATTTTGCGGATACAGCCTGGGGCGGGTGCAAAATCACAAATTATAATAATTTTATCTCCGAAAAAGCCCCACGAATTGAGAAGGGAAAAAGCCTTTCAGAAAAAGGAGAAAAAGCTGCATCGAATGAGACACTAGTTGTGCGCCGTTTGATGTTCTGTGAGTGCTGGGATGACCAAAAGTGGAATTTGATAGTGTCAGAAATATAATTTCGAAAATTTTTGAAAGCCAGCTGTAGCTGCCAAAAAATGTCAATTCATTGCATTTTGTTTACCCTATCTAACAGTTATTTTCCAGATGTTCACATTGAAGATTGTCAAAAATTGCCAAATTTGGGCATGGTAAAAACCATGGCTTTGAAATTACGCGATTATCTCAGAAATCACTGAAGCAAATGGTCCCAAAACATGACTGTTGGAAAGAGGAAGAAAAACTGCGTCTGATAGTGTTTGAAGCATTTGCCTTTCTTCATTCTGTTTTTATGAGAGGTTGAAAAAACGGAAAGAACTTTTGAACCGACCTAATATCACCTGTGACAACATGATTATGCGGATCTTTGATGAAATTGGGATATTTAGCACAAACACAGGGTATAGTTTTGATTGTATTTACATCTCAGACAAATCACGGGAACTTCCCCCGAGGGGCAAGCCAATTTGCCAAACTTCCCGAGGGTTTCAATTAGCACGTAAGTGAATTAAGCCATAAAAATGGGAACTTCCCGAAAACTTTGACGTCAAAACCAACACAGTTAGGAACTTCCCGAGGAAGTCCTCGAAAAGTTCTGCAAAATGCAGAACCTCCCGAGGATTTAAATTTGAGGGAACTTACGCAGAGCTGTTTTGCAAGTTAGCAAAACAGTCCTGTTTTGCTTGTTTTGCAAACAAGACTACCTGCATCATAATGATAAGCTTAAAGTTTGATAAGCTAAAGCTTAAGGTGCTTCATTTCTGTCTATCACCGTCTGAAGGATAGGTAACTGTTATAATATCGATACCTATCTATAGTATACGCGTCATCCTTGTGTCACCCCCTCAATGCGATGTGTGTTAAGGAACACATATTGAAATTCCGAAATTCCATCTATTTCTCAGTTTGCTTTGCAGCATTTTTCAACTGAGTGGCGAAAAAATACCGGATCCGAAGCAGTCTGAAGCCAATTTTTCTATTCTGGGGAAGAGTGAAATAAGTATTACGGAAATTTTCAAGGTGATTTCATATAAGAATCAATGAAGATATTCCGGTTTTCAACCAGTTTTCAACGGAGTGGGTGCGTTGACGTTTCGAAAGCAACTTTTATCTACTCAAATAATTCCAGTTGGATATCCTTGGGCAAATCTGAGAAAGAACGCGAAAAGAGATTTGACATTCTGCTAAAGCAAAAAACAGTTTATTGCTCCAAAATCAGGATCTGCATCGCAGAAGCACTGTAAATTTTCCTACAACGTTGATTATTCGCTCTAAATTCAGTTTTGCAGCGAGGACATCCGCTATTACCGTTTGCGCCAAGGGAAACTTGTGCCATCAAATGTATGAACTTTGTTTATTTTATCTTATACATTTACGTTTTTTTTCAGATATACAAAAGTACGCAGGTCGGCTTCGGTAGAAAAGACAAGGCACGCATGACGAAATCGGAATGGAGGAGACAAGCGCTGCACATGAAGGAGATTTGATCTTGCAGTCTAACGCGTCCATCCCATAATTATTATTTTTTTCGTGCCATATCACGAGATGCCTCTTCTCATTCTCACTATGCTCGCGCCTGCCTACCGTCAGTACATCCCTACTCTATATCTCAGCATGACTCCATCCGCATCATTCCAGCGCTGTTGTAATTTAATTTTGTAAACATGCTAAAGAAATTTTTTCAACGCCTTTCGTCGATATACTCTATATCTATGCTTTATTTATTTATTTTTTTATTTATTTACAAAATGCACAATAAGTGCGCACGAGTAAATGTATTACAATAGATAGATGAGAGAGTATGAGAGGATAAGGATGAAGTAAGCCAACATGTGTAAAAAGTAGACTACATCAATTCAGCAGTAATCTATCCAAATCAATGTTGAATAACTTTCTCTTGATCATTTGGGCATTACTTGATTGTAGAATATGAGGCGGAAGATGTTGTAACTATCTTGCACCTCTACAAATGACTTGTAACAATCTTCCACCTCCAAGGGCCAGTGAGTTGAAAAGTCGAACTTTGAAAGTTTCGTCAAACATCCTCGATCAATAAAGTTCATTTTTTGCTATGTTTCCTTCCCCTGCCAGAATTCTTTTGCAAACAAACATACGTCAACTTGTCGCTGGTAACACCACCTGTAAGTTTGAGGAAGAACTGAACGTAGACAACATCAATTCAGCAGTAATCTATCCAAATCAATGTTGAATAACTTTCTCTTGAACATTTGGGCATTACTTGATTGTAGCATTAGCATTGTAGCATTTTACTTAGCAATAAAAGATAAAGGATATCTGTGTTTTGCGTGTTTTTAGCCTGAGTATCTGAAGTAAGGGTACGGCTCGAAAGAAGCAGGCTTTACTGTTAAAAGTTCTGTATAGCTACGCAAAGGTCCATCTGAAGCCCTCGGGAAGTTTAACTAAAGTCCTCGGGAAGTTTCCGTTTTTAGGGAAGTTCCCGAGAGCTTATTTGCAGAACTTCCCGAGGGCTTTACGGGAACTTTCCGAGCTGACCTGCCGAAAGTTCTCCCACAACCCTCGGAAAGTTCCCGTAAGTTGTCTGAGATGAGTATTGCGTGGAAATGTGTTATAGTTGTAAATCTTACTAGAGACGGGCTTGTCATGGATAAATACTACTCTTATTACTTTGTATCCCTCGTTGTTACTCTTCACTATGTTTAACACGTTTCGCACCGCGAAATCGCGAGCGGCGAAAAAGAGGGCACTTTCAGCCCTTAGGCAGCAAAGGGACCTTATCTCGAAGACTGTGTGCTACACCTGTAATCAGCTTGTCAAATAAGTTCCATAACCAAAATTTTGAGTGAATTCGAGGTGTTTGAATTTTGTCGCTTGGGAAGGACTTCTGTGGTTTCCTGAAAGATAGGAACAAGAACCTAGTTTCTAATAGTATCCCAAAGTATTTATGTCGTAGACGGTACATCAGTATTGAAACGAGGGTTTTTTTTCTTTGATATCGAAGCAAAGAGAAGTTGCGATGTCGCACGCGTCGTTCGCGTTGCCGCACATTGTTGCAACCGTTGTTCGATTTGTCCCCATATCTCCCAAACAAATATCGGCGGCACAACTCTACAGAATCATTTGAAAAGTAAAAGCTTAGGCCTTTGACTTAATAACCTTGGACTAGAAGAAAACCTCCTGTGAACGTCAGAAAGATCCTTCAAAGCAGCGTGCTGCACCATGTGCAGCACCGGTCCGAAACGTGTTAATGCATTGTTATTGTTAAAAACTTTATTCAAATTGACATAATCGAGAAGGAATGGAACGGAATCTTAATATTAAACATATTGTTTAGCTTGTCATTTCACATGAATTCCTTTTTGGAAAATAATAGTGGCAGAGAATACTTGTAAGAATAAGCTTGTTTCTATCGCTAATATCAATAATCCAAATATACCAAAATATATCAAACCAAACCTGTATTCTGGGAATTGTGCTCTTTTTTGGATGTTTCTGCTGAACACTTTGTCTCTTGAGCTCGTTTAGGTTACAGTGCATCTCTTTACCGATTTTTTTTTCGCATCTTAATTGTGTGGTGTTGCGTGCAGGTGCAGTCTCAATGAGTTACAAACAATTCGGGCGAGAATCGCATGGAATAAAGTATACTTTTGGTAGATTTGGGGCAGGCTAGCTGTTCATGATTCGTCTGTTTTCTGGAAATCTTGCTAGCCCTTTTGATTCACGTTCATCTGTCTTAAACATCACAACTTATAATAGAGTGCCGTAGGACTACTTTTCATTATCGATCGATATCGATCTTATAAATTTTCACCGCTATTTTTGCTAAGTTCAAACTACACGGCTGGGATTATGGGGGGGGGGGGGAGGGGTAAGTGAGTATGCTGATCACGAATACAATATTATTTCCTAGAACTACAGACTGTCTTTATCGATTTTATCAATTGTTTGCTAAATTTGAGCTAACACGGAGGAGTAAGTGAGAATGCTAATTACGAAAACAAAACGGGATAGAGAACTGGCATGTAAAAGTGGGCTGCGACAGGGAAATATGGTAAAGGAATTATGACTTGTAACATAGTGATGGTGACCTTTAACATAGTGTTTGACAGGGTTGGGCGGAGCCTGGCACGCCAACTAACAGCATTTAAAGGCAATCTTTTCATTCTAACTTCAAGAAATTGAAGTGGCTCTGCATTGGAGTTTTTTGTTACAGTGGTAAGCACATTTCATGCACCATAAAAAATGCTTTATTCACATTCTTGATCATCGTACTTATGTATCAGCTGTCAACAAGTGGGCCAAAACTTGGAGTGAAGATAGTGGAGAAGATTTACGCTATAGCGATTTTGTGACGATGAGCACTACTCGACATCGAACTTGCAGGCAAAACGGCGATTTTCTTAATTCGGATAGCATAATAGGACTTGCTTTATACTGTCATGATAAGGTTTGATGAAATATAAAGATATTAAAGGGGTTAAAACGGGAGTAAGGCCCGCAGCTATGTACGAATACTGTAGTATTGGATGATTTGGACCTAAGAATTGTCCCAGAACGAAAACGACAAGACCGGAGCTCAAAAGCAGTGGTAGACAGGCCTGGTAGGTGATTGCCTAAAATTCAGACATTCTGTTGGTTGGCCAAATTCTCCTTCTTCGAAATCACCTTTAGCATTTGAGAATGCATGCGTAAAGTCCTCTCAGACATCCATCCAACATGTAGCCTTACGATAGTTTTTCTTCTCAGAACCAATATAGCGATATAGACGGGTAATATAAGGAGAGCAAGGTGCATTTCAATAATAAGAGTCTTCCATTCGTAGAGGTCTAAGTAGGCACTGATGCATTTATCTCTCAAATCATCTGTGTATATGTGAGTGAGTTGCGTTCTAGCGACACCCTCAAGCTGCAGAACGAAGAATGTCATTCCCTAAAAAATGAGTTTGGGGTTGTCAATTCAAAAAAAAAGTCCGGAGCTTAGAATCTTGCGTTCATTATTTTTTTTCAAAAGGGTAGGCGCACGCAGGGAGACACCGTTACGTATAACAAAGGCAATTTGTATTCATAAGCAAGTAGACGTTGAGCGAGAACACGCTCGATCAGAGAATTGCTAATAGTGCAGACGATGGCGCCTTCTCTATGCGTGCGATGTCTCGACTGTAACCAGGGTCGAGCCAGAGGTGTAACACACGCCACCTGAGACATCCTCCCCCCCCCCGCATTATCGTTTGCCTACTATAGTAAGTTTCAAATCGTTTAGGTGGAAAATGGATTGGCTGGAGTCCGCTTCGCAGCAATTCGCGCCGCTTTGCAGTCTGCGTCTCTTCATTTTGCCTGCCCCGGGCTGAAAAAGACTGTATAGGCATGACAAAAAGGCTCTACCAAGCATAATTAGTAACATTAATTAACTTGCCAATTAGAGGCAGTGTCCGGGCGAAAACTGGATTTCTAGAAAATCCGCATACCGGGGGTTGTCCGCAATGCTGAGAATACACATCAGAAGGCGCGAAAACGGCGAGAACATACGTTTTCCAAAAACGCACAGTTTGAAATTCGACGGTCCCCACCAAGGCAGAGACGCAGAGTCCGGGACCCTACATTTTAACTGTGGCGGCATGCATACTCTGCTACATAGTAGAATTCGGACAACTCGGAGGACCCCGCCCCAGGGCGCAAGCTTCCCCACTTTCCGGTCGTTTTTTTTTCGCTTTAGGTTGAGCGTTATGACGTCGCACTTGCGCGATGTTGTGTGTGAGGGTGGCCCTCTCGCTTGGCACTGAAATTCCAAAACCCCCATCTTGCCCGGACACTGCCTTTAGCAGTGGATGGAAATGGGCCCTTCTCGGATCTTGGTGGATTTAGGAAGTAGACCCCTTCCCCCCCCTCCCCCTAAGTACATTGTAGCTCAACCCTCACCCGTCAATGGCGGGTTGGTAGAGTTTTGAAGCGCATTTTCCAGGAATTAGCGCATGACTTGGCAGGTGGGGTTGGGCTACAATGTACTTGGGGGGGGGTCTATACTCCCTAAATCCAGCAAAATTCGAGAAGGGCCCATTCTGCCTGTCCATTGCCTTCAAGTCCTGCGGGCCAAGTTCTATCGCACTTTGAGGGTCTCCGACATAAGGCCACCCAAGGTCATTTTTAGACATGGTTAGCTACATCTCAAAAGTGAATCAGCTGCATATTTTTGCCCTCATTGAGTACAAAACACTGCTCCCTACTTCCCCATACCATGCATCCTGCTCCCAATAACGTCATACGGAATTAGGAGCCAGCCAAAATCTTACTTGTCCCTTTTTTAGCTTATAGTGGTTGTGTTTCCAGCAACTTAACTCTAATCACTTCTACAAAAACAAGCTATCGAAATGTATATATTTTGTTCGCTAAATTGCTCTTTGGGGGTAAGTTGATGGGGTTTGGCAGAACTCGAGAAGAACCCGAGAAAAGTTATGGTTGCACTTAGGGGTTGTGCCCCCCCCCCCGTTGAATTGCCTTCAAAACATTCAAATATCTGTGCTTTTTATATCGTTGATACTGCTAAAGCTTCTTCTCTACAAAGCAGCAATTTAATTCAAATTCGTTGCTCCTGGGAAAAGACATAGTCGTTTTTCTTACCTGTGCAGTAAAAAATGGGACAAACAAGATTTTGAGTTGCTTTTCATTCCACAGTTCGAAGGTCATTTGGAGTGAAATTTCTAATGTGAGCAAAGGAGTGGTAGTTCCTTGTATTGAGTGCAAAGAAGTAGTCATTACTCACTTCGAAATAAAGTTAAGTTAACATGTTTGAAAATAATCATTTCACTTGTGTGGCTATATTTGGAAAAATCGGAAATCGCTGAAATTTGGCCCACGAGGGTTATTGTTATTTGACATGCTAATCACGAAAATGCTGTTCTCATGCTTTTAGGGCTTTTTATTATGCTTAGTGTACGTATGCAATGGTAGGCCAAAACATCAATGTGCTAGTATTAGGTTGGCACATAAGTAATGCAACTTTTTAAATAAACTTTCGTTTTTTAAAAGTAGCCCGTTCATTTTCTGACAATATTAAAATTATGACGTAAACTGCAAATGCGGACATTTTTGCCGAATTTTGCCAACTCATATAAGGGTGAGAGTTCATCTTCTACACGTCCCTCGACTGGTCGGTCATTTTGACCGCTCTTCCCCACCCTACCGGACGTCGAACCCCTTGATCCAGGAAGCCCCGGAACAGCAGGATCAAGTATGTTCCATCCCAACAACGACTGTTTACACATCGCAGTATTCAACGTGAGACGCCTGCCAAACGAAGTCCAACTGCATGAACTGCAAGAACCCCTGAAGAAAACGAGTCGATATACTGGCCCTAACAGATGGAGAGACGAATTCAGAAGAAGCTTGACACTTGCAATTGGCAAAGAGTAAGATCACTCACGTTAAAAGAATGTATCAGTTTGTTTGGGTGCCGCATATTGTAATAATATGAAAGGCAAATAAATCATAAATCATAAATCATAAATCATATAAGGGTTACGTTTAGATTGCGTCAGATTTTGCTGAAACTTGGCCTATGGTTATTCGACATGCTGATTACAAAAATGAGGCCCGTTTCGCATGGAAAGACCTTTTCGTGAGGTCAAAAAATGAATGTTATCTTAGCGTCAAGTAAATATGATTTTCGTATTCACCGTATTGGATTATCCTATTGTGCAAAGTTTCAGCGTATTCTGAATTTCGCAGCTTACAAGGGAATGGTTAGAAGTCGAAGTGGCCAATCCAAACAAGCTGCATACCATTCGATGCAACTTAGAACGCTGATTTCAAATCTGTCTTCCATATCTGCAGAGCGCCTTTGTAAGCGAAGTTATGACCAGCTTTATTGCGAAAAATTCGTACACAAAAATTGCGAGTTTAGGCACATTATTGCCCTTCTCGCTCGCCTTTAGGTACTGGCCATACGAAGTGACCTAGCTGCATGTTTCGGTCTAGCATTGATTTAGGGATGGCTCTGTACGGCCAAGTTTGCCCTTTTCACAACAACTTCTTAGCAAAATAATGGCCTTCAACGGCTTATAATTCCATCCACAAAAGTGGTCTGCAGATAAGGAAGACAGATTTGTAATCAGCGTTTTATGCTGCATCTAATGGTATGCAGCTTGCTTGGATTGGCCACTTCGATTACTGACGATTCCCTTGTTAGCTATTGACAGATTGCCCTCAAAACTTGACGCTTTTGACTTGTGCTTCCTCCCCAAAGCGACTTATCTCAGTTTGTCTTGAATTTCACTTCTTTTTACTGATTTCAATGTGTCAAATTCCAGGTACATGCTGCCTATTCCTTTATGTTATGTTTGATTCAGGTTTTGTACGGCTTCATATTTGCCAAAAAACCTGAACTTGATTTTCAAGAGTTTTCGAAAAATGCTTTAAAAATTTCTATCACGTTTTCATAAATCGAACAATTTGCGAAGGCTTGCAGCTTACGTCATACTCTATACGATGCCAAAAAATGAAAGTGCTACATTTAATGAGAAGAAAGTTATAGGAAAAAATGCAAGACTTATGTGCCAACCCAATACTTTGCATAATGCCTATCTGACATTGTTATCATTATCATATTATCGTTAGTATCAGTATCACCTCGATTACAACCTTCCTCCTTCCCCATCCCTGAATCCTCAATATGTCCGTGTGGCATGCCACATCTCACGCTTGACTCTCACTATAACTGCATTCCAAATCTCTGCTATCTAACTGTTGTCTGACATAATATGATTTAAAATTCGTGCTGCTTTCAAGTCATCTGTACAAAAAGAAGATTGCTATTACTAACTAGTTGTATGCCACAGGGTATATAGGCGATTAGCATAATGATAACAATTGTTCGAATTTTTGGTGGTTGTCTGAAAAGCACATAGTAGCGATAAGAGAATAGTAGTAGCAATATATATAGACCATAAGAAGCACAGTGCAGCCAAATGCTATACCTGAGCTTCAAATACTTTAGGAGGATTTCTAAAGAAAAAAGATGGACTAACAGGGTAGTGCAAGCTGTGGTTCCGACCGAACAGCAAACCCCACTTGAAATATAATAAATCGTCGGTATATCTAGAGCAATCCTAAAGCATATAATGTGCAACATTTTAGACAACTACGATTATCAAACCTCTGGCGAATGAGTATAGAAGAAAGGCACGCAATTAGGTCACAAATACCAAAATTGAGAATCAGAACAGAATATGTTTTGATCTCCTTCGGTGTTCGTCTGATTATGAGAAACACTAGGACGGCGTTGAACACAATTCCAGATATGTTTAATATCGCATGTAGTATTGCTATGATCCTTTCCATCGGATCCATGCTGTAAATGAATTGTCATTCAATCCGTGAGAATGAATTGAACATGAGAAGAAATCCCAAAGTGTAAATTTGAACTGTAAACCAGGAGAGAAGGGCAGATTTTGAGTAGGAAGAAAATCTTACACATGCCACGATCTGTTTTGATAATATTAAAGGCTCTGGCTAGTACGTTTGTCAGTTCCATGTCTGACAACAATTTGATGTCTTAACAAATTACGATCAAGCTATTCCTCCGTGAAATTGTTCACAAGCGCAAAAATTTCGATGGTGTTTACCGGCGAGAGCTGCTCTTTTGCTTAGCACAGCATAAATTTTGTGCTTGACGTCACGCATGGAAAACAAAATTATATGAAGGCCAGATACAAGACTATTTAAAATTACAGTAGCAACTAGTTGAGACTTCGAGAAATGGCTTAACCTTTGATTCAACTGTATTAGCGGCTAGAAGGCGGGGCCTTATGACCTAGTTAAAGCCGCGACGCAGTCCGGGTCTCTCTCGCGCATGCGCTCTCTGATCATTCTCTAGCTTTAACTAGGTCACGAAGCCCCGCCTTCCAGCCGCCAATTCGTTTGAATCAAAGGCTACTTATGCATGATTCGATTGAAAAGAAATATCTCAAGATAACTCAAGGATACTCTTACACTTCTTACTTGGACCCGTTTCCCCAGTTTCTCTTGTGTGTGATTGTTCATATAGAGGGAGCATGTTTAACGAAATCTTCTCATTTTTTTATCGCAAAAACATGCTAAAAAACGCTACTTTTGAGCATCACATCGAAAGAATGGAACTTGTAAATTACATTCAAAGCAATTTAAGTCCCACATAGGAGTTCAATGTCTTTAACCCCTTTTTTAACTGGGACTGACATAAGGCAATGTGGCTGGAATCCCAGTTTTCCACCTTAAGTGAAGTGCAGAGCCCAAGAAAGTGGGATTCATAATCTGCAATCGGAGCTTAGTGATGATTTTATTGAATATAATGTCCGGAATCGATATGATTGTTTACTTCTACTTTAACTACTGCTATTTTCCCTTTCAATCATGTGCTGCTTACAAATTCTTAGTACAAATAACAAAGCTTTATTTCTTTATAATCAAGGGTGTCATTGGATCAAGCACGCTGATGATGGTTGGTGATCAGACTGAAAATGAATCAGTTGAAGTTGTGTTGTATGAGCGTTAGTTTAACCAAATATAAAAAACCTACCCATGCGGTATTGCAGTTCTGTCGTGATTTCCCAAATTCCGCTGTACAATATGATTGGCACAGGGCTGCTGTCTGATTTGAATACTTGTCCGGCATATTCAGGAGCGCAGAGCCTAAGATAATGCAGAGAATATGCGACATAGCGCTATGATAGAGTCAAACTTGCCTATATCCTGTCATTCGTTGATCTTTTTGTGTTTTGATTTCCACACCATCCCAGTAGCATCCTGGAGTGGTGACTTCGCGATCCCCATAATCGATGAATATCACTTCGATTTGTCTTCCTGGGGGATCCTGTATAAAAGCGATTTTTGATATATTGTTATAGGTTGTCATCAATTTAAACTATCCAGAAGTATGCCCACTTGAAATCGTCTCATTCGTTAGTGAGTCTCACTTCTTTATAGCCCACTCTGTGCTTGAGCGTTTGCCATTTTGTGGTAGCTTGCAGTACTTTACCGTCTCCTGCTGGCTAAAATAAGCATTTGGAATTATATGCTCTGAAAGAGTTACAGATACAATACCACTCTCATAACGTGCAAAATTTCCGTGAATGTCGCGAAATTCCGGAAAGTTCCCGGAAATTTCGGAATTTCGCGACATTCACGGAAATTTTGCACGTTATGAGAGTGGTATTGTAATTGACAGCCGAGGTGCGAGATTTGCTAATTACGGTGCGAGAGTGACCGCATATCACCGCGACTAGCGCTGATGGGCAAATGCTATAAAGTCATTTATATGCAACTTTGTGAGCTCTTTCTTTCTGTGATAAAAGCGGGATTTGAACTCTTTTATAAGCGAGGGTTTATGAGACAGCCAATGTACATTTTTATGCATATCTTTGTGGAAAATGGGAACGAAGTGTCCGGATACCCGTATTTGTGTTTATATTCGAAGGGGCTATACCAAAAAATTTACAGGAGAAATGATGTTAAATACAAAAGAGGCTGATCTAAGAACGGTTCTGGACTTGGAAATTTTTCGGAAAACTTTATGATAGATCAAAATGAAATGATAATTCCAGGAGAATAATCAAGACGCTGGCATAGCAATATTTCGATACAACTTTTGATGCGCTATCAGCTGATGAAGAAAGTTGGACAGCAGCATGAATGTGAAGGGGCGCTGCCCTATAGTATCTGAAGATATCTGAATATCTGAATATATATATCTGATATCTGAAGAGTTTTTCTTAATTTGATCTTTGATCTCTATATATAAATCGGTCAGAAGTGGTTCATTGGTGGTTAGTGGCGACTTAGGGCCCAGGCATGGATGGGTTGGAATGGGAAGGTGGGGAAGAAGTGGGTGGAGACTTGGGTGTGGGCGGGGCCAAAAGTGGGCGGAGCTAGCAAGTTCCGAAAAAATCCACATTTCTCTAAAATCTATCCACCGTAGTCCTACAGAAAGAAGCTATCTCGCTAATCAGATGTGTTTTTTGTAATCAATGGGTCGGATAACATCTATGGTTTAATTTTCTAAGGAACTAGTAGCACTTGATATTTTCTCGCTCCTCACTCTTGGCCTCGGCGCAAGATTTGGTTCAAAATATTGAGGTTCTCGGATTGACCGGAAACTTCGCTCATAGTGGTTTTTGGTCCCGATCCTTACGAAAATCCTATTTATTTTGCACTAGAGAGTCTTAAAGTAAAGCTGAAGTGGGATAGAAGTGGCTCAACTCACCAAAATCGCAAATTCGCCTGCACTTTTTGCCTATCTATTGCGGAAATTGTCTGCATATTTTTGTGATTTTAAAACTATGTGAAGACCTCTACCGGACCATGCTTAGCGCAGATCTTTATCTGCATTGTTCGTCAGATTATGATGTTACAAAATCGCCTTCTCATGAATTGTCTTTCAAATTCAAAAGTCGTGTAATTTGGCAGATATTCCTATCCTACAATGTGCAACCTGCAACAAAACAATATAAGAAATGTTGTTAACACGTCGAGTAATACATGTAAGCGGATATTATAAGATTTGCTTCATACATGCATTCGAACATATGACATTGTCATAACTGTGGAAAAGCTTATAGATCACTTCAGCATGAAGGTTTGAGAGAAAAAATTCACAAGCCGTTTCTAATGTTCACCTGCTAGCAGCAGATGAGAAAATTACTGTTTTATCATTTTATCAGCCAGATACAATACCACTCTCATAACGTGCAAAATTTCCGTGAATGTCGCGAAATTCCGAAAATTCCGCGAAATTTCCGGAATTTCGCGAAACTTCGCGACATTCCCGGAATTTCGCGAAATTCCGGAAAGTTCGCGGAAATTTCGGAATTTCGCGACATTCACGGAAATTTTGCACGTTATGAGAGTGGTATTGTACGCAGGCCCTTTCATCGCCAAATCGTCCTCCATAACCACCTGAGCAAACGCATTTTGAGCAATCACGAGGATTGGGGAATCCACCATTCTTGCATTTTCCTCTCTTGTAGGATGGACCCGAACCTTATGGGCCGGATGGGCCGGATGGGCCGGGTACGACAGGCGCGGTCGTGGTAGTTGTGTAGTTGTAGTAGTTGTAGTAGTTGTGGTAGTTGTGATAGTTGCAGTACTTGTGGTAGTTGGTCTTTTAGTTGATGTAGGAGTTGTGGTGAACGGACGTGGTGTTGGACGGTATGTGGGAGTTGGACGGGCACTTGGACGGGATGTCGTAGTTGGACGCGGTGTTGGACGGGGTGTTTTAGGTTTTGTGGGTGGTGTAGCTGTATGGTCCCAATCCCAGCCCGCACCGAAATTGAATATCCAGTCGGGAAGTAAGTTGCCAATCGTACAGGGTAATTTCCACCAGTCGCGCCAGCCTCTGGTGCTGCTGGAGCTTGAACCTTCCTCCCCTAGAAGATTACTAGTGTTTGAGCCGCCTTTTGCCCTGGCCGTCCATCATTGCTAATGCCTCTGATGGTGCCATTGTTTGAGCCTTCTGCCCCTGGCCGTCTATTAGTAGTACTTCTGATGGTACCATCGTTCGAGCCCTCTGCCCCTGGCAGTGTATTAACACCATAACCTCCAAAGGTGTTCCATCTGCTGGTGAGACTTGGACTACTTGGGCCAGTCAGACCACTGATAAATCTTGATGTTGCTGGGCTTCTGAAACTGCTACTTCTTCCTACATTTCCTCCTCCCAAAAAGTAAGCTCCCATTTGTCGTTTTACTCGTTCTTGCTGGGGTAATTGTTGCACTCCATCGCATTTACCCAGAAAGACGCTTGCAGGTTCAGGTTAATTCGTCTTCCCAACAAAATTGGCTTACTTAGACAATCGTAAATTTTGTTCACCAATAGCAAATCGTAGAAGGAAAGAAATGTAATCCGAGTGTGCCTACGTATCTTACATCGTTGGAAACCATGGAGTATTTATCTGGTTTTTTCTGCATCCAAAAATTAACATAGCTAAAAAAGAGTTCTTATTTTTAACGGGCAACTACCGATTGAAATGGCATACAATCTGGCTACAATGCATAATGCTTCCGTAATCGTAAGGAATGTTCAAATCATCGTTTGTAGTTGGGATTTCCTTTTTGAATTGTTTTTTTATGAACTAAAACTTTTTTGGATAGCTGAGTGAAAGACATATGAAAAAACCAGCGTCTATGTTATCCCACTCGAGAGTTATGTACTGATCGCGATCGTGCCTTGAATGCGTGTGCCACAATCCGAGCATGGCCGATTTCGTGTTGCGCGGTACCAATCTAATCATGAGAATTCATAATCATGCTGGTACTACTAGACGATGGAAGTTTTCAATAGTGTAAGACTGCAAATTCATGCAGTAACTATCCGCTTTTGGTGGGAGCTTGCTTCGCCGACAAGGGGGAGACGTTCTGCACCGTTCACCGTAACAGCCTCCTTGCGCCCCCGATTGGTCAGCGCTGCGGCAACGATTGGTTAAGTGAGAGTCTGACTGCCGCTAACTGAGAGCAGGGCCCGGCACAGATCGTCTGGAAGCAGCTGGACTTCGTTTTTGGAGCAAAAAGCAAAGGAGATATCGTTTTTGACGAATCGAGGCGAGAACCAAGAATAAGTACCATTTAGTCGAACACAAGCTTTTCGGGCAAATTATCGCACGAGTGACATGCTCTATCGTGTATGGCGAAAAGTGCGCGCGATTTGAAAGCAAGATTGAAATAAACAAATTGCTTGTTTACAGCGCACGCAAAACCATATCACGCCTAAATCGAACTGTACAGATAGAATATTATTTGCAAAAGAATTATGCAAAAGGTTTGAAACTAGAATCATTACAGCAAGTACAATACCGCTCATAATTCGTCAAAAAAGTCGCCGGACTGTGGCGCACTCCGCCACACTCCGCCACAGTGCGCCGGAGTGTGGCAGAGTGCGCCGGAGTGCGGCAGAGTGCGCCACACTCCGCCGCAGTGCGCCGGAATAATCGTCAATTTAGTCATATCTCGCTTCAGAATGGACGAATTCTGAATCCGAGGACACCGTTCGATTCAGCTCGGCGAGACGCATCATCTTATATATGAAGCTGAACGTCTGTTTGTCTGTTTGCCTGTACGTATGCTCCGAATAGAAAATTCCATTTCTGAACCGATCCGAACCAAACTTGGCACACATACACTCCGGCCCCGGCGGGTGTCATAGGCTACTTTTCGTCATCGATCGATATCGATTTTATCGATTTTTATCGATTTTTTGCAGAGTTCACCTACGGGGCTGGGAGTTTGCATAGGGGGGTAGTCGAGCATGGGGATTCCGAATACATTATTAGTTTTCAGGATTATCGATTACTTTTATCGATTTTATCGATTTTTTGCAAAGTTTGAGCTACGGGGCTGGGGGTTTGCGCAGGGGGTAATCGAGCATGGGGATTCCGAATACAATATTAGTAGTACTCTGCGTTGATACCACTGCTT